AGCTCAATGCTTGGCCTAACAGGTGGGATTCTGAAGCTTCATCTCCTCAGAAACTCCAAGATCAGGCAACAAGAACTTTGATCTCCATAAATGTTACCGTAGCTTCCAATTCCTCGAAAGACCACAGTTGAGATGTAGTAGGCGGTGTACGTTGACATTGATCTCCATTAATGTTACCGTGGCTTCCGATTCCTCTGATACCACGCACCATGACTCCTTCGGCTGCACTTGGTGATCCGCGTATCTTCCTAAACGTCTTTGGTTCAACAAGAACAAAGAACCCAGGCCTGCAGTTGTACACTTGTACTACATTCATCACGGCTATTCACTCCATGCTTACTTCAATGTCATTTTCCTACACAAAAAGTCCTGAAAGTTGAAGCTCAACAAATCAGGTTCCAACATGTGAAGGGGAGCGGTAAGACAACTTACTTACGATGAGAATTTAAGAGACTAATCAGCACAATATAAAGAGTTCCAAAACTGGAGATGAATGGTACCAGGAAGCTCTCTGCCTGCGGTCTCCTGCAATAAGTTGTCCAAAGAGGAAACGACGAGGACCTAGATGTAGTTATTAATTAGTTTATAGCTGTTATTGTAAATATGTAAACTGTGAGTACTGTATAGGTAATTTGTAGTTGATATATATAGGTGATATTGTAATCAACAATGTAACAATTCATTTCCAATTAATAAAATTCGCCTGATGGCTTCCCTAAACGACATGGTATTGGTACAGCTAAGCAAGAATCTGGCCTATATCATCTCAACATGCCTATCTCACTTCCTAAGTCTCAACTATCCACTTGTAATGTTTGTTTCAATACTGAATTTGTTCCTTTCGATGTTTGGCATTATAGGCTTGGTCATACTGCCATTCCTTTATCCCAGTTCTTAGGCAAGGATGTTAAACCTTCTGTTTGTAGTAATAAGACTCCTTGTACTGTTTGCCCTTTAGCTAAACAAAAGCGTCTTCCATTTCCTGTTAGTACGTCTCATGCTCTGAATCCGTTTGACTTACTTCATTTAGATATATGGGGTCCTTATCAGGTTCCCACCATTGATGGTTTTCGTTATTTTCTCACTTGTGTTGATGATTTTTCACGACACACGTGGGTTTATTTACTCAAAACAAAGGGTGAAGCTCGGCAAATCATGTTAGATCTGCCAGCTTTTGTCAACACTCAATTTTCTTCTAAAATTAAAACTATAAGAACTGACAATGGGCAAGAATTTAACATTCCTTCCTTCTACAGTGAGTTTGGAATTATCCATCAAACAACCTGTGTAGCTTCCTCTCAACAAAATGGTCGTGTTGAGAGGAAACATCAACATATATTAGCTGTAGCTCGTGCTCTTATGTTTCAGGCCTCTTTACCTATTAAGTTTTGGGGTTTTGCTGTTCTACACTCGGTTTTCTTGATTAATAGACTGCCATCTCCTCTGTTACAAAACCTGTCTCCTTATGAAATACTTTTTCACACCAAACCAGTCTATAATGATTTCAGGGTCTTTGGTTGTTTAGTCTTTGCATCTACCTTGCAACATAACAGATCCAAATTTGCCCCTAGGGCTGATCCTTGTGTTTTCTTAGGATTCATCAACACTGTTAAAGGGAATAGGCTTTATAACCTCGTTTCCCATAACATATTTTATTCACGAGACACTGTTTTCCATGAACATGTTTTTCCTTTTGCTACTTCTAACTCCACACTTGACTTTGATTTTTGCTTTCCTTGCATTCAAGTTCAAGAAACAGTGGTTCATAATACTCCAACTACTTCTCCTTTACCATCTACTTCACATTCTTCACCAATTCCTACTGTTTTAGATGCACCTTTACCATTTCCTGAGGAGCCTCTCGATCTGGTTGACATAATTCAGGCAGTAGAACCTCCACCATATGCGAGGCCTCCCCGTGTTAAGGTGCGCCCTAAGAAGCTTAATGACTATATTTGTACTGTTGAATATGATGGTGTTACCTACCCTATTTCTCAGGTCATGTCATTTGATAATCTCAGTCCAGAATACAAAAGGTATATTCTGGCCAGTTCTGCCATTCTAGAACCTAGGTCTTACAAAGAAGCTATTAAGGATCCTAGGTGGTCAGAAGCTTGCAATTCCGAATTAGCTTCTTTAGATAAAACTAATACATGGACTATTGTAGAGTTACCTGATGGTAAGATTGCAATAGGAAACATGTGGGTTTTCAAAGTTAAATTTCTTTCAAATGGTGAGATAGAAAGGTTTAAGTCTCGTTTAGTTGCAAAGGGGTACACTCAAACCCCTGGACTAGACTACTTAGAAACTTTTGCACCAGTTGTTAAACACACTACTGTGCGTCTTGTTTTATCTTTAGCTGCTATTAACAATTGGCATTTGCATCAGCTTGATGTTAATACAGCTTTTCTTCATGGAGACCTTGATGAAGAGGTCTACATGAAGATTCCCCCAGGTTTGAATGTACCCCCTGGTTTTAAAAATCCTGTTTGTCGTCTTAACAAATCTATATATGGGTTAAAACAGGCTAGTCGTCAATGGAATATTAAGTTGTCCAATTTCTTAACTGCTGCTGGTTACAAACAGTCTAAGGCAGATTATTCCATGTTTGTTCGTAGCCTTGACAAGTCCTTTACCATTGCTCTTGTATATGTTGACGACATTATTTTGGTAGGTAATGATCTCAAAGCTATCACTGATCTCAAACACCAATTGGATCAAACTTTCACTATCAAGGATCTTGGTGAATTGAAATTCTTTCTTGGACTAGAGATTGCTAGGACAGAAAAGGGTATTCTATTAAATCAAAGGAAATTTGCCTTAGATTTATTAACTGATTATGATTTTCTTAGTGCAGAACCTTGTGATTCTCCTTCCATTCCAGGTACAAAGCTCTCTGCCACCTCTGGTAAAACACTTTCAGACCCTTCTGTTTACAAACGTTTAGTAGGCAGATTGCTTTATCTCTGCAATACACGACCTGATTTAGCTTATTCAGTGCACCAATTGAGTCAATTCACTCACAGTCCCACTGATTTACATATGCAAGCTGCTGAACGTATGTTACGTTATATCAAAGGCACTGCAGGTCAAGGACTGTTCTTTTCTGTTTCTTCTGAGATTAAATTGAATGCCTTTTGTGATAGCGATTGGGCTAGATGTCCAGACACACGCAGATCTACTACAGGTTTTTGTGTATTGTTAGGGAATTCATTAATTAGTTGGCGCTCTAAGAAACAGAAGACTGTTTCACGTTCTTCAGCCGAAGCTGAATATAGAGCAATGGCTAGTTTGACTTGTGAAATCTTATGGCTCAGATATGTTATGAATGATTTGCATATCTGTTTTTCTTCTCCTACTCCCATATACTGTGATAGCATGTCTGCTATCAAACTTGCTGATAATCCAGTCAATCATGAACGTACAAAACATATAGAAATTGACTGTCATGTTATTAGGGATAGGATTCTTGATGGTGTGATTAAAGTATTACATGTCTCCTCTGCTAACCAGCTTGCTGACATGTTTACAAAGTCGCTTCCAGTCCATATTTTTCAGCAGTTGCAGGTCAAGCTGGGTCGTCTTGATATCTACGCACCAGCTTGCCGAGGGGGGGGGGGGGGGGGGGGAGTTGTCCAAGGAGGAAACGACGAGGACCTAGATGTAGTTATTAATTAGTTTATAGCTGTTATTGTAAATATGTAAACTGTGAGTACTGTATAGGTAATTTGTAGTTGATATATATAGGTGATATTGTAATGAACAATGTAACAATTCATTTCCAATTAATAAAATTCGCCTGATGGCTTCCCTAAACGACACAATAGCTCCAATCCCCGGAAATGGCATCGAATAATTCTCCTCATCCTTCTGCGACTCTTACTGTTACTACAACTAGTATGTGCCAATGCTGGCACAAATTGGGCTCAAGAGGATCTCCCAACAATCAATGGGCATATGGGAATTCACCAATCCTTTCTTTATACTTTACACATCTCGGAACAGTCTCACACCAGCTAATAGTTTGCTGACGAACGACTGTCTACCCAGCCAGAACTTTAATAACCAAACAAGTAAGAAGTAAAAAAAGAAAAATGTTTGACAGATATAAGAATCCACTTGTATAAACAGGAACTATCAGCAAAAAGGAGATCACACAGGGATCGGGCAGTTCACACCCGCAGCCACAAAAACAAAAGTTCCCTATTGCTCACCATCCATGGTTGAAGAAACAGTATGCAGAAGGGGTAGCTCTTAGGCTAAGACATTCACTCTGTTTTCGTATGATGATACTGAGCAGAAGGAACTGAAATTGTCAAGCGGATGAGAAAGAGTTACAACTTCTTTGCAGAAATAAGTTCAGTTAACATGGTAACTTTTGATGATCTTGGGATACAAACATGTTACTTCGCAAAAGCTCTAAGAATCAGACAGCAGCCACTGAAACACACAGCCGGAAGGAAAACCCAGTCACAACATCCATAGAACTTATTTACTTATCTATGTCTTGGAGCATATTTGAATGAAACACAAGTATGATCAGTACCAATCAAAGAAGTTTGGCCAAAGAAGTTCACCAGAAGATAATGGAACATCATTGTAGAACCGAACTGGGACGGGAAACATAGCAGAAACATTATAGCCTACCTTTGCCAACAATACCATTCACTCTTCAAAGTCAGTAACGTGGACGTAGAACCACCAAAATGCATATGCAGATGGAGACATGCTAGAGAGATTAAGTGGTTAACACACCAATGGGACTTCCATTAAACACTATGGACAAATTACATATATGCTAAAGTGATACAAATTTATAAGGGCTACAGTGATATTTAGCTATAGTGACTTACTGAGAAACACCTACTTTTAATCTGTCAATCTGCTTGCACAGTTTATGGTCCCATCCTCGACGACTCATTCTTTGCTGCTTTCACATCCTCCCAATAACGCTCATCTTATACATTAGAAACATCAGAGTTCAACTAAGCATCTGATGCCTATGGCTCCCCCACGTTTGATGACTTGACTTTAGCTAGAACCTTCCGCCGCTTATATGTCAAAGGAAGTACAGAATCTCTCTTAAATCCCTCGGTAACACTGGATCTATTAGCTCCACTGCCTGATATTTTCAAGCCAGCCTCACTTTTGCCCTTCATTTCAGTAGGCTGTCCAATTACTGTCTCTGGCTTCCTTTTTCCAAGGTTCAAGACTCTGGGAACCACTTCTGGAAACTTTGGAAAATGGTGGCTTTGCTCAGCCCTTAAGGTCAAGTACTGCTCCCTCCCGTGACATGGAATTGCAAAAGGAAACGATCTCAGAGAATTAAGAGAGAAGTCCTGAGCTCCAGCATGTAGTTCTGGCCACAAATTTTTACCATCAACATCATATGTGCTTCCACCCACCGAACTGATTGGAAAGTCATGCTCCTCTCGAGGCACCCTTCCAATGCCACCTCCAACTACCTTGTTTAACCCTATTAGGGATCTCTCATCCAAAGATGGAATTTTTCCCCTTCTTATTTTTTGATCCGAGCTTTCAGAGCGACTACTGGCTCTTAGAGTATCATCTTGCTGATTCAATAAACACAGAGGTTGGTCCAAAGCTGAATGTACTCTATGGTCAATGATTTGCCCCATGTAAACTGAACTGCAGAGGCCACCTGCTTCCTGGATCGGTAATGAGGCATGCAAGCGAGAAAACTTAACATCTAGCAAGCCTTGTGACTTGACAATAATGTTTGGTTTTAATCCTCTAGGCACTTCTGATTGTTCCAACTGACTAGGAGGTTGTTTTGGGACAATTTTCAAGACGCCCTTGGGTATAGAACGACCTTGTTCCAACTTGTCATTTCGGACTACTTGTGCAGCATGATTTTGGCATGAACGATTTCCAGATGCCTTCATCTTTAGAAAGCCCTTCCCTTGACAGTTTGGGGGAACAAATTTTGCAACAGTGGCAGCTTCAGCTCTTTTTCGTCCCGGAGGCTTAGTATCCATGGAGACATCTTCACTTAAAAGATTATCATCCCCAGGAAATTTATTAAGATCTAGTAAAGTGTTATCTTTGTGCTGTTTGTTCCTTTTACCCCACAAAGAGATACGTTCCTCAACACCGGCGCCCTTTCCACATTGATCCCATATTCTACTCATTTCGACAAAAGTCTGTGCCATCTTATCATGGTATGACCTTAGCATATGATAATGCTTTTTCCTCTGGAGAAACTGTAAACCTTCTCTGTAATGAGCCACTGTTGGAGGATAGAACCCACCTCTCAATCTTTTGAAGAACATATCCAAAGGATTCCCAAAATAAATATTACTGCCATCAAAAAGCTCCTTCATAGTCAACCAAAATGTATGCTCGTCCATATCTGGAAGATAAGCTGATAAGTGAAATCGCTCTTCCTCTGTTAAACAAGAATTCCAAGTGTCTATAGACAGTATATCCTTTAAGTCAGGCAGATCATAGAGATCATATGGCATGCTGCATACATGACCTTCCACCATACCAAGCTCGCAATTCAACTCTATCAGCTCCTCGTCATCAGAATCATCACCTGAGTCTGGTCCTAAAACCAGGTTATCCAACACCTCAGTGCCACTTCCATTGTGGCAGTATGCACCCGCACTGTAAAATGCCTTCGAGTGGTTGATCTTTTGAATGCCCATTGCAGTTGATGATTTACTCAAAAGAAGATTCCAAATAGTGGCCTATGTTGAAGCTCAACAAACAGAAGCAGAAGCATGATGGCTGAAAACGAAAAGCTTCTAAGTTAGCCACCAAACTCACATTGTCTTCAAATGTAAATACTCAAGACTTAATGAAATCATTCTATGCTAATAATTCTTGAGGAGTTCAAACGTACATGAAATGCGAAATACGGACATTGTATTAGAAAACTATGGCAACTCATAACAAAATCCCATTTGATCTACACAAGTGGTGTTCCTGGCATCAACCATTTTAACACAACCATACAAAAGCAGGAGCTAAACTCAGTCAACTGAACAACTATTAAGGTGGAGAAAGATACACTATCGTCCATTCACTAAACTTAAACGCAATAATCTACCAGGTTCGTACTATCATCCAGCAAAACATAGTTCATCAAAGAAATGTGGCCAGAAATTATACCTTAATACCGGATTCAGTGACTTGAGGATGCTATAGAAGCTGAAAATCCTCGATCCATTGATCTACTAGTCTCTCCTTCGTTAACCAGCTACAAGCAAGTCCAATCAGAGCCAAATCGCTCTCTAAGTTCCGTAAACAGTAGCCAAGCACCGACGTCGAACCTCGAAGCTTAGTTCCTCCCTCCCTGGCTCTTCTCCAGTCTTCCGATTTCTTCGATCTCTGGTCAGAAAATGAGAGATGACGGCGGGAAGCTTCGAAGTGGGACACAAAGAGACTACCTCAACAACTCCGACCCGATCTACGCTTCCTCTCCATCTCGAATTCTCCAGCCAAAAGCCTCTGCTCACTCTAGCTCAACAGATCCGGTGGCTGCTAACGGCGAAGCTGGAGAAGGCTATTGCTGCTAGAAAAATGCAGAGATTGGCACTGCAAATAATCGCTCTGTCTGATCGAATCCAGCTGCTCGAAATTTCCACAATTGTGTCGTCCAAACAGGACGACCTTCTTTTTTTCTCCCTTTCTCGAAGCTTGGACTCTTGTGCTGCTGCGGCCAAGGCCAAGAAAAGAAAGGAAGGTGTAATGTGCTGTGCCTCCCATTCCGTGATTCCCGTCCTCTTTTTTAGTTTCTCCTTTCAGGACCTCAACTCTCCACTGACTTGCGGTTTCGTCCTTTGACCAGTTGACCTTTTTACCGCTTCACATCTAAATTTCACCTCGCAACTGCTGGTTAAAAGTTAAATCGAACCATCAAATCTAGATTCTCGAAACACAAATTATATCTATATTTCAAGGTTGTCAACCCGCCGGTCGATCCGATCTGATCGAGTTAGTGAGTTAAAAATTAATGGGTCACCCGTTCTAGCCCAATTTAACTAAAAAATATGAAAAAGTCATTATATTGTACTTATTTTGAATCCAACATAAAAGAAATAACTGTACTTAAATTCCAACACACTTAAATAACATAAATTCAACGACACTTTGAAACGAGCAGCCCGCTGACCCGCTCGGACAAGCCAACCGCCAGGGTTTGACTGGGTTTTCCCGAGTTTGACCATTTCCAGGCTAACTCTCAACTGGGCCATTTTAACCCGTTTTCAAGGCCGGGTCCGGGCCAATCCGGGTCAACCCGCGGGTCGACCCGCGGGTTGACAACCTTGCTATGTTTGGTACAGTTTTTATAAATGTTTTTCAGTTTGAAAAGTTGAAGCAGGGCCAAACAACTCTAAAAGCTCGGCTTTTGAAAAGCCAAAAAACGCTTTTGTATAACATAAAATCAGAAGCTTCGATTTGGATTTTCTATGAAAAGCTATTTTGAAAATACAAGATTATCCTTACCATATTTTAATTTTATTTCAGAAAATATAATTTTATTACATTTATATTATTTTAAAAATGAAATAAATTATAAAATCATATTATTTAATATAAAATAAGTCTAACGAGATCTATTTTGACTATATTTTATTGTTTATAATTATTATTCATAGTTTATATTATGAATCTTTATAGTCATTTTACACAACCTCTCATATTAAAAAGCACTTCTAATAGTTTTTTTTTTTATGAATCGTTGGGTTTCATTTCATAAAAAAGTGGCACTAACAACTACCCTGCTAGCTAGGTAAATCCAACCATAAGGCGGAGGAAACAAACTACAAGAAATAGCTACTAATAGAGCCTCTGAGACAAAACAATCACCCCACCCAGAACTGACTAAGTCTTTGACTACCCAGGAAACATTCAACTTCGGATTTAATCATCTTGAGAAGGGTATGAAGTGGATTTGCTTTACCAACATACAATCATCTGCATCTCTCACGCCAGATGTGACTAATCCAACCCTGCCAGATAACTCTCCCTGTTTCAGCAGCTTCGGTTGTAGCACTTAGTTTATAAGTGATCCAAGTAATCTCATCATCCCAATTCTGAAGGTTAGGGATATACAACACCCTTCCAAAGAGAGAAATATAAATCTGCCTCGAAAAAGGGTAGTCCACAAAAATATGATCTCTCCAACCCCTGCATCACAAAGACAACACTTCGGGTCCCCTGAGAATCCCCATTTCTGCATTTTTGCCTTAGTATTTATGCAATCTCTTATAACCAGCCATGTTAAGATCCGGTTTCTAGGGATACCTCTGCCCTTCCAAACGATTTTCCACCAACTCATAGTAGCCATAGCAGGACGGAGGAGCTTCCACACCCTCTTAATAGAAAAGAGATGCATAAGAGAGTTGTCCAACAGAAGAACATCTCCCCTAACCGAAATAAAAGGTCCAACTCTGTTTCTTAGTTGCAACAACTTACGCCAATTCCAAAAGCCAGATGAACATGTATATGTCCAGAAATTCCTGCCCTTAAGCTTGTATATGCTCATCCAGGCTACCCAGATGGATCCTTCTTGCAACAAGATCAGCCAAATGTGCCTGGTCATACAAGCCTGGTTCCAACTATATAAATCCCTGAATCCCAGACCCTCTTCCCTTTTTGGGAAGGTAAGATGCTTCCAAGCCACATTAGCTCTGAGTTTGACCCCAACTTCAACCCCCCAGATAAAGTTGCTACAGATTTTCTCCACTTCCTTGATAATAGCTTTAGGGAGTAGAAAAACAGACATCCTGAATTGGGTCAGACTGTAAAGGACAGTGCCAACAGGCTCAATTCTACCTGCATAAGAAAGAGCCTTTGCCTGCCAACTCCTCACCCTAGCCACAAGCTTTTCAATCAATAGTCGACAAGCAGTTAAACTAAGCTTGCCAGAAATCAGGGGAACCCCTAAGTAACGAACAGGAAAGCCTCCCAACTAATATCCAAATCTATAAGCTCGTACCTTTCTTTCATCCCTGTCTAGACCTCCAAAGAAGATTTCACATTTGCTAGGATTTTATTTGAGACCTGAGACCGTCTTAAACTGAGCCAGAACACGTTGTAGTTCTTGAATACCAGCATTTGAGGCATCAGAGAAGACCAGCAGATCATTAGCAAAACACAGATGAGTGAGCTGAACCCCTTTACACATGGGATGATAAGGAAAACACCCCTCAGAAGCTGACTTATCATTAAAACAAGAAAAAAACTTCCATAGCTATTGAAAAGAGATAAGGAGATAGGGGATCTCCTTGTCGAAATTCTTTCTTTGCTGGGAAATAACCCACTAAAACTCCATTAAAACTGACACTAAGCGTAGGTGTCCCCACACACATACGAATCCAATTCACAAATTTCTTTGGGAATCTCATACATTTGAGAACTTGAAAAATGAAATTCCAATCAACTGAATCAAACGCTTTCATCAAATCTATTTTTATAGAACATCTAGGAGAGACATTCTGATGAGAATATTTGCTAACTAACTCGTGAGCCAACATTATATTCTCTCCAATTAATCTACCCTTAACAAAAGCTGTTTGATTTTTGCTGATTAGGAAAGGGAGGAGAGTACTAAGTCTGTTAGCAATGAGTTTAGATATGTACTTATAGAGAATATTGCAACAGGAAATTGGACTAAAGGTTTTCATCTCATCTGGGTTTGGAACTGTGGGAATCAGAGAAAATATTGTTGCATTTATAGGTCTAGGAACTCTATCCTGTTCAAAACAAAATTGAATAGCTGAAGTTACCTCAGGACCTATGAGAGGCCAGACATATTGGAAGAAAGCAGCAGAGAACCCATCCGGACCTGGGCTCTTATCTCATATGGGTTTGGGACTTTGGGAATCAGAGAAAGTATTGTTGCATTTATAGGTCTAGGAACTCTGTCCTGTTCAAAACAGAATTGAATAGCTGAAGTTACCTTACGACCTATGAGAGGCCAGACATATTGCAAAAAATCAGCAAAGAACCCATCCGGACTTGGGCTCTTATCTCCATCCATAGCAAAATCACCTCATTTATATGCTCGTCAGTAAACGGCGCACAGAGCCCCTCAGTCTGCTCTTCTGAGAGTTTTCTTCTCAGCAAAGCATAAAAAAATTCCTCAGACTGAGCTACAACTTCAGAGTCCTCTACACCCAATAACCGTTTATAGAAACTAACGACAATTTGAGTCATCTCTTCAACATCATGAACTTGCTCTCCAACCTCATTATTGAGAACTCTTATAGTACTTCTTTTCTATTTCACTCTAACAGCAACATGAAAAAGGAAGAATTCATGTCCGCTGGTTTAAGCTAGTTTTCTCTTGACTTCTGCTTAAAAAAAGACTCCTCTGCATCCATTAGAACTCTCAACTCATGTCCCAATTTCTTTTCAGTTTCAAATATGTCGGCAGATGGAGCAACAAGAGCCTGTTGTTGTATGTCATGAACTTCCATCTCCTTCTCCTTCACTCTCTCAGTTAAATCTGAAAACTCCTCTTTATTTAGCTTCCTCAATAGGTTCATTAAGTTCTTCAACTTCTGAATGACCTTGATTAGTGGATGACCAGTAACATTACTTCTCCAAGCCTCTTCCAATAACTCATCAAATCTAGGGTGATGAAGTCAGAACTTGAAAATTTTGAAAGGCTTCGGAAGGGACTTCAAAGTAGCAG